CCCCAACGCTCAGTTGCCCCATTAAACAGGTATTTAGTACCTATCATGATCTAATTCTGAATTACCTTTCCAACTTTAGCTTCCACGCTGTTGATTCCTGCACCCAAACCAGACCACTTTCCCAAGTGACTTTATCACACTCCCGCTTCTCTTGGAAGTCTGCATGCTCATCTCCATTTGTCTAAGTCTTACCTGTCCTTCAGAATTCATTTCAAAAGTCACTTTCCCTATGAAGCTTTCTCTGATGTCCATCTCACTTATCAGCTGAGAGCTCCCATAGAATCTTGTTTCTATCAGTCCTTTGACATTTTCACATTGTGTTTTGCTTTATACCTACTGGCATACAGAGCTCATCTTATTTACTACACTATAAACCCTAAAGGGGACTGACTGGGACTCATGTTCACCCATATATAGATTGTTCAAGTTGCAAATAACTAATTGTTTAGGTGGAGTAAGATTGCAGGAGGTAAATGAAATAAGTCAATGGCCAAGGTTGGTTTGTTGTTTATAATAAATGAAGGAGCTGAAGAGGAGGGATTGAGGGGGGGAAGGGCTAGTAAGATTTTTGTGGAAAGTGTGATTTTGAGGATTAAGGCCTAGGTAATTATTTTTTGTCCTTACATTGAAATATATTAGAAGATGAGGCGGCCTGGTCATGGAGCCAGGCTTTCTAGTCCCATAGGGAGATTATGATCTTGGATCTGATTTTTATGACAGGTGGGTAAATGAATCACACTCATTCCTCCATCTCTCTTCCTGTTGGGTTTCTTAAATACAAAACAAATGGACAGAAGCTGCCTGATTATGAACTTGCCCTTTCATCAGTTTTATTATTTTTCTAAGACACATTCCTCCCATTTCCAAACCAGGCCCTTGAGTTTAATTTTCTAAATTTGAATTAGGACAAGCCAAATGAGTATAATTGCTTTCTTCTTTAACTGAATAATTGCTATATTGGTAGGCCAGAAAGCCTGTTGTTTTGAAATCTATCATTATTTGGCTTTGACATCATGTATCCCTTTACTTTTATCCAAACTTTCACAATAAAAGTTATAATTCACACAGGTATGAGTGCTGATTGTTTACTCTCTTTAGCTAAAAAAATCATGTAATTTTTGTAATTATTAGAGAAGAGCTTTTTAAAATATGCTTGTCCTGTTGTTGTTTTAATAGTGCCGTGACTTTTAAAAGAAACTTTGGCTTTCTTGAAATTTTGGAATCAGAAGAGCCTGATTTTTGAGAAAATTGGAAGTTTTCTGGTTCATATCTGACTGAGAAACTGAGGCCCAGAGGGGTGGAGTTCTTTGTCGGTGGTCATGGAGATAATGACAGATCCCGGACAAGGATCTAGGTGCTAGGACTGACAGCATGGGCTTTTCACAGTGCAGTGCACTTTCCATCCATTATATGAAAATCTTGGCCAGTAGCAGAGATTTGAGGTAATGGAAAAACAGAGCCAGTAATCCCTGAACACTTGTCCCAGAAAATTTGTATTGAGATGATCTACTCTGAAGAAAATTCTGAGCCAATTATATTGCTATGGGTGCTTGTTAACAGATGTTAATAAAGAGTTCTTGGACCCATTATATTTTATGTTGCTGGCTTTTATGAGGAACTCAGTACTATTTCCAGGCAAGTAAACACTATTGCCTTGTTTTAATGAGTAGTGTTGCATTTTAGGAACTTCTATTTTAATTTTAATTCACTACTAGAAGAATGTAGAACTTAAAACTTTTAACCATTAAACTACATCTTGGCTAGGGTTATTTACAAACATGAAAAATCACAGGGGAAGAAGTCTGACCTGGATGGAGCGCTGGGAGATGGCGCCATTTCCTGATGAAAGGGCCCCAAAAGCGTCAATGAGGCCATTGTTCTGAGCCTTATCTGAAGCATATGTCTGTAAACCGCCTAAGAAGCAATGACACCGTCAAAAGTTATTTTGTAGAAAGCAAGTATTTGAAACATTTTTGCAATTCTTGAGGTAGCAGAATACACAAAATAAGTATTCTACTGTGCTATTAAAGTATTACTAGATCAACATCAAATAGGTATCCAGATTAACTCCGAAGGTGATACTAACTTTTTAATCTTACCAAATAATAGCTTCAGCAACATCTCGGTCATATGGCTGCTTCAGCTATCTACAAAGCAGCCATGAATCTCGGCCCAAACTGATATTATAAAATTCATATGAGAGAATCCATGAAGCCTTACTCTAAGTCCATGGGTTTATTCTTATTTTAGACATAATCCTAAGAAGGTTGACTTTTGAGTTTTCTCCTAAATCAGATGAGCTATGCATGGGACAAAAGCAAGAAATAACAGCTGACAGGGGACACTTATCGAAAAGTATGATGTGTAATAAAAATGACATTGTACACCAAGCCTGGCAGTCTCAGGCTGTTTAGAACAGGTGCAACTAAGGTAGTTGATGTGAAAGTACTTTTAAACTATTAATGCCATGTAAAGTATAAGGAAAGCATTTTGATAATACTGTTGGTGCTTTACCTAGATCTGTTATCTAGGCAAGTGCATCTCTTTTCAGTTGCTCTGTTAGCTGCTAATGGCATTTAGTTCCCCCCTTTTCCAGAAAATCACCTTACCAAAAGGGGACACCCAAACTAGAGAAATAACATGCCCCCTCACCTCTCCTCTTCCCTGACAGTCCACAGCCACAGACTGATGAACACAAAAGGCCAGCCCTCTTGCTTTAAAATTGAACCAAGCCTGTGATGCAGTTCCAACTCTGAGTCCCCTGTGGGGTCAGACTCCAGCTAGATTCTAAGCCCCGTGAGATCCATGCCTAGCTCCTTCCCCTGCCCTACCCTACCTTCCTCCCTCCCTTTCTCTTGAGAGCTCTCCCTCTATAAATCACATGCACCCAAATCCCTGTCTCAATCTCTGTCTCTAGGAAACCCAGACTAAGACAGCTAATATTAGGAACAAATAGTACTGTCATTTTAGCTGCCTCAGAAGGCAACTCAGCACAATAATTGCTATCCATAATCCAAGTCCTAAGTAAAAGAAATAAATAAAAATAAATTGTGCCTATCCAGTCCTCTAAAGAAGCCAGGGGCATATGGGATCTATTTTAACCATCTGTTGTGTATGGGAGTTAGAAGCACAATCTATTCATGTTCTACAGAGAAAGTGCATTGTAGTCTACATTTTCAGAGTCACCTTCCACGTGGCTAAGCAGGCCCTTTGCTCTCCCCCTGCTACTCCTTGCGAAAAATCCCAACTCTGATGTCATCATTCTGGACCCTTCTCCTTCCCTTCTCTGTGCCTCATTGTATTTCCTATTGCCAATAGAGCACTTTTATCCTGGTATACATAGTTAGTGGCTTGTCATCTGTCTCTCCTGGGTCCCTTGGCCAGCTGCCAACTGGAAGTGAGTAGTTCTTGGCTAACTTATCAGATTCCTTCCAGCTCTTATAAAGTTCCTGGGAAGAGAGTCTCAAGTCCTCATTAGGGTGCCATGCTGGTCCCATCTTCTCCAGACTGCCCTAATCCTAGAACTAAGGCCTTAAAATAAAGGGGTGGAGTAAGTTGTAGTGGTTTTTCATGGTAAGGCAGTCAGTTGGCCAGTAAGATCACCCCTATCTCTCCCTATCTCACCCTTCCCGTCTTCCCCAGTTCACTGGAGCTCGCAGTCCAGTGGAAGAGACAACACAGTGGGACTCAGGCGGCACCCCGTCACCTGTCATTTTAGACAGCTCCTCCAGTTCTTTCGCAGCATCAGGCCCCAGAGCAACTGTGTGGATGACTGCTCCGCTCTGTTTCACCGCGTCGAAGCAGGTGCTTATCTTGGTGTCCTCCCCATCAGTTAGTAGCACAATTTCAGATCCATCTGTTGGGTATTTCTTCCTAATCATCTAAGGACATAATTCAGAGCACGAGTCATCAGACTCAGGGCAGCCAAAGTGTTTGTGAAAAGTGCATTTACAGAGAACAAGAAGAGAAATTCCAGAGAGAATAAACAGAAGTGTCCGGGAATGGCTAAATATCCCTCTGCTTTGAAATGATTCGTTTCAAATGAGAAACACTCGTGGCACTTGATGTGGTCTTTTCTCTTGGCGAACCTGCTGCAGAGAGGGCGCAGGGCAGTTCCAGGGGCAAGCAGCACGGGGGGAGCAGGACAGAAGTTTTCCTCCACATAGTCTCTCCTGGAGGGGCTTTCCGGGGTTCCCAGAAGCCTTCGGAAGTCACCCTCCTTGAATGGGGATAATGTTTGGGGAATATTAGACCCAGGGCAGATTTTAGCTGGTATGATATTCACCCGTCTGACAAGACCAACGGTTTATGGCCAGCATTGGTTCTGATTGGCCAATACCCGGCTCACATGGGTTGTTAAGAATGTTAATATCCCCTGTGATTAAAGCAGGACATTTTATTCTTATTAATCACAGTCCCTATCTGTCCTGGGACACCTGTTTTAATTATGCCTGCTAGGTGTACAGTTTTTCACATGGTGTAGAGAGGACAATGTTGGATGAGATTATGATAGAAGGACAATTACATAGAAGAACAGAGTTATCTGTGTAAGAAGAGGGAGGCAAGGGTCCGCTCCTCCCCTAAAGAGAGTGGGAGGAAGACCCGGAAGCCAGGGAAACAAGCAATCAAGCCTCCCTCCTCTGAACCAGACTCTCAGAAAGGGAAGGCACCTTAAGTAGTTTGAAAGGAAAGCCGAGAGCACAGAAGACCTTGGCCCCACTCTGTTTGCCCTCTGAGAGGGGGGCAGCCGCAAAAGGGAAGAGAGCAGAACTGAGGCTGTTGCTGTGTGAAGGAGCCCAGAGCCCAGGAGCCCATCAGCCAGGGCTGTGGCCCGAGTCCAACAGAGCTGTAGGGTCTCAGAGGCCAGAAAAAGGGCTTAGTCTGGGTTCCCTTGTCAACACTCTCTGTCACCACTACACATCATGGAAACATGCAGACGCTCCCACATACACCACTGGGCACATAGAAGGCAGCTGACTTGAGAGTCGGCAGGCAAGAGAACAGGTCATCTTGCCATAGAGGTTGAGGAGTGTGCAGCCTTCTTAGGGGCTGGATGGAGGATGGGGGTGTGCTCAGGGCTCTGCTCCAACAGGGAGAGCCAGGCTGGGGCTGAGTTAGCTGGGGCGGACCACTGGGCCGCGATCCAGCCAAGAGGACAAGCAAGGTACAGTGGCCACACCTCAGCAGACACCACCACCAGGAGCCCAGGACAGAGCTGACCAGTGGGGACCTCGAGGACAGTGTAGGATCCTAGGGCCTTCGCCTCATCACCCTGAAGTTGCCCACAACTTCTTCCTACCCCACAGTCAGATTCCATGGGGCAAGAGAAGCGTTTAAATTCCAATTGTACCTCTCACACTCTCTCACCCATCTGAGTGGAAAATGCAGAACCAGACATTCTCTCTCCATCCCCAGGCCATCTGGCATTAGTCATCTCCCTCAGGGTTTGCATAGCAGGAGCTTGGTGTATGTCAGTGATTTCACTGTCAGCTTCCCTCCCTAATTTGCTTCTTTAATCAAAGCTTGAATGAGTGGCAGAGGCAAGGGAACCCAGATGCACACGAGCATCTGGCAAAGGGTTTTCCAGCTGACTGTGTACACAATGGAAACCACTTTTAGGGAACTGGCCTTCAAGGTAGGGTGAAAGGACCAGAGGGACAGACTGCATTTGAGGGAATGTTTGAGTCCATTGTCCACATGGCACTCAATGTTTCTGCTCCTGCTTGGGAATCTGGAACAGCCTCATTGATGTGCTGTGTCCGCAGCAGGCACAGGGCAGATATGCCCAAGACATTGCTGAGAGTCTGAGACCTTAGGCCTGCCAGCCTCTTTCAGCCTCCTAGTCTATGTTTCATGGGGCTAAATAGCCTCTAAATAAATATAGAATATTATTTTCTGTATTTAGAGCAATTAAGCTTTAGGTGCAATCAAATAATTCAATTTGTTTTTATTTATTGAGAACCTCCTCTATAAAAGATATTTGCCAGCAACCTGGGAGGTAAAAAGACAAGCCTTACTCCAGAATTTGTGCTTAAGTGAAGCACATGATTAGAAAATAAAAAAGCTTAGAATTCATAAGAGATTTTTTTTTAAAAGGTCATAGGATTCAGAAAGAGAAATTCTACACAGTTAAAAGGATCAAGAAAGATGTCAAGAAGTAGGTGGTGTCTGTGATGGTTCTTTGAAGAATGAGCCTGGTCTGAGATGCAGAGGAGGGGAGAGAAAGTGCTGTAAGTGGGGAGTAGCCTGGCAAAGGCGCAGAAGCTCTGAAGAACAGGTGGCCTAACTTGCCTAAACATAGGATGCCTGGAAGAGAGTCTCTGGTACTGAAGCCTGGAAAGGTAGGTAGGGGCTATGTTATGAAGGCCTTAAACATTAGAGGAATTTATACTTAAATTTATTGAAAATGGCAAGACATTGATATCTAAGTAGAGGGACCATGCCTGGACGGTCAGATAGGATGTTTGGATACACCCACAAGACATGTATAGTTACACTTTCTAAGGCCTCCTGCTTCAATAAATAAACCATTTGCTGGCCCCACTCAAAAGGTCCTTCTATACCCAGAAGTTTGGAGTGTTAAGCTTCATCAAAGTTTGACCATAACTCAGAGCTCATTTTTTTCTCTTATAGAAGACACTCTCATATCTGTGTACCTTCCTTCATAGCGCTCATTATAGCTTATGAATATACATTTATCTGTATGTGACTATGTGATTAGTGCATCTCCTCAATAAGATTATAAGCTCTGCGACAGGAGAGGATGTGGTGTCTCTTTGGCTCTCACGGTATCCTTAATGCCCAATATAGTGCCTTGTGTGTAGAAGGCACACGTGAATATTTTGAATGCAGGCATCCATGCAGAAAAGCATGAACCCACTGATGTAGAAAAGCACAAAAGCATGGATGAATTCATTAACAACAGCTTTGGCGGGCTGTGTCTTTGTATCATTTGAACCATTTCCCTGCCCTTGGTTGTCTAATTCAACCAGACACTAGGCACGTGTGGAAACACTGGAAAGGGGGAATCCTTAAACATAAATTGTAAACATTGGCAACCGCAGCTGGGGAACTTGTCTCACAGTAAATGCTGATTGCAGTCCAGTGCAGATGGACGTTCCTCCTCCGGCCTTTGTCGGGAGCTTTCCGATGAGCGCATCCCTTTCGGCGCCGCTGTTTATCTGTATGAGTTCACTTTGGACGTAGGCAGCGCTGTCAAAGGTCACCATCCCGACCCAGGCCCCTTGCTCAACCGTCTGCAGCAGGAAAAGTTTGCCTGCCTGGTTCATTCGTTTGAGGCGGTTACCGTTCTGAATGGAGAAGCAGAAGGAAAGCGGTCAGGTTGTGTTTAGATGGGATGGCTCATGAAAGAACAGCCTAGAAGGGATTCGGAAGTGGCTGCCTCAACATAGACTAAACGGCCACAGGCTCACTCAAGGCATAGCCTTCTGTGGGAGGAGTTTAGCTTTTTGGAGTAGAATTTTAGGGCCTTTGTAAAACTAGCCCTAAAAGATAAAACCAGATTAGGCTTCAGTTCAATCATTAGTTCAGTGCTTTGGTAATAGGTCTATAGACCTATGCCACTGTCAGTGAAGCATAGGTGTTAAGGCTGTGTAATTCATAAATCAAAAGATAATTCAATTTGGCAAATGAGACCCTTGATGCTGAATGTTTGTCGAATCAAGTGGCGGTAGGTGTTTCTGATGGCAGCGCTGGCGTTGTAACGTCTGACTCTCTGAGCTGTGTTCGCTCCCAGGGGTTCCAAGCCGTGGTCTAGGTTATGCCGTCTGCAAGCGTGAGGCCTGAATCCAGAGGTCGAGACTCACTGCACGTACCTGCATGCTTCCAGACTTATCCAGAACTAAGCACACGATTCTCTGTCCGACCTGCAGCAGCGAGAAGGTGGGTTTGGGGGGCTGTGTTGTCATAGGAGTGGTTTTTTTAAAGTCCTCAGAATCGCGAATCACTTCCCATGTGCTTCGGAGGTTGCATTTTTGGTTCTGCAGGTTTGGGGCTTCTTTATTGTGGTTTTTCTCTGTACAGAATTCCACCACCTGAAATTGTCAATAAAATGATACAGGTAATGGTCAACTAATGGTTAAAATCTTTAATAATCTGATGAATCTAAAATATGTTATTCCCTTGCCCCCTCCCCAGCCTGCCTCGCTAACCCATCATCTTGGCCCAATCCCACTATCACTGCAGAGCACTGCTGGGGAAAATCACAGTCATAGTGAGAATTCCTATCCCCAAACATGTGTTCAACGTTGCAGAAAGCCTAGGGCTCCACAGCAATCATTTACTCGCTTTTGGCTTCCTTTCTGCTTCTCAGATTTGCCATTTTGAGCCATCACCACAGTCTCATCATTTCTCTCCTGGTCCCATCTTGTCTCTCTGCCCCCTCACTCCCGCCCATTCCTTACTCCCCAGTTGCTCCCTTCCAGCTCTCTTCAAAATCCACTGGGGAGTCCACAGGCTCCTCAGACTTCACATGTTCATAATTGTCACCTTTCTTCCAACTCTGCTCCTCCTCCTCGTATGTTTCCTGGCTTGATGTCACCACTATCTACCCATCTCCTAACTCAGGAAACTGAGCGATTCCCTGCCTTCTTCCCCCTACAGAATAGCCAAGGTCAATACATTCCACTGTCTCTCCAGTTCATCATCTTTTCTCCCCAATGGACTGGCCACCATTCGGGCCCTCAGGTCCCTCCTCAGACTGTTGCAGTCTCTTATCTGACTTTTCCCTCTTGACCCCCCTCCATTGGGCCACTCCACAGCTGCCTGAGGCATCTTCCTTCTTACTCCTGCATTTAAGACCCTTTGGTGGCTCTTGGTTGGTCTCACAGTACACTCTGTGCTATTTCACATAGCAAGCAGCAGGCTCTCTAGTGTGCATTTCTGCCTCACCCTCCATTCTCACCCCGGCTGTGCTTCCCCCACCGTGGTCTTAGCCTTGCCAGACTGCTGTCTAGCTCTGTGGCGTGGCTCCTGATTCCCATTTTGTAAAGGAGTTCCTCTTCTTCTGTCTTCTGCATTGTGAACTCCACCTTCAGGTTTCAGCCGAAAGTTCATTTTCAAAATATTTTTTCATTTTCTACCTTTCCCCCAAAGAATTTCCACTCAACCTTGTGGCCTCACACTACCCTGTAGAAACTTCAGGAAGGCCCCTTTAACTTTGTAAGTGCACTTATTGGGCTGTAAATCCATCTATGGGAGAAACATGTCTTATTAAATTTTGCTGCCTCAAAACCTAGTCCCGTGTCTGATGCATAATAAAAGCTCAGTATAAAAAAACCCTGCACATCAGTTTTTTAATCTACAAAATGTCAGTAGTTACTATGCAAGATTACATAAGAACATATGCAATAAAGTCAATACTAACACAGCCAATAAATGATAGTTTTTTCTCCTTCCTTAAGTATTTATATCCCTAGCATTTGAGGGATTAAAAAAGGAGGCATAGTATACAAAATAGGTACAACCTAGGTCTTCTTCTCAGCGATTTTACAGTGTTACCCTTCAGTTAAAAATCTTAAATATCTGGGATTCTATAATTTAGAAAATATTCATTAGCTATAAAACATGTTTCTCTTTGCATTTCTCAGGTCATTTTGGTCGTGTTTCCATATTATCATTATGTCCACTTTATAGAAAGGAATCTGAAAAACTTTTGTGTAAAACCCCTGGCAAAGGTTCCCAAGATTCACTGTGCATCAAATTTAACTCTGTGGTTAATTTAAAACATATAATCCGGGAGAACTCTGGGAAATTTCTGAATAAGTCTGGAAGTGGGCTGCAAAGCCAGACTGAAGGATGGGCCTGGGAGCCATGGTGAGTCACATTGTTATTGACAGACTCTTGCAAGTTGCTTCATTCACTCTCTACTCCAGAAGGAAAACACAGCTTTATGTAAGAGACTGGGAGATAGAAGGAACTCCTCACTAAAGTCAGTTAAATGATGCACTTATTCTTAGTTTGTGCAAATTCACTGATGTATATATTTAGCATCAATAAAGATAATTTGTCAAGTTTATCTTATGGCCAGTTGGTCATTAAAAACAATTAAGAAATATTTTTAAAAACTATTTAAAGCTATTAAAACTATGTACAAACCCCCTAAGGGCACCGACATTCAAAATGATAGAAAATTTCGGGAGCATTTGAGGTCTTGCTCTCCTGCATATGCTGTTAGCTTGGCTCAAATAAACTCTTATTTAAAAAACACAACAACCAACCAAGTAAACAAAAAGAAATTTTCACTTAACAACTAAACGTAAATAATGCAGCTGAAAAGATATCTCTGAAAATTAAATTAAAAGCTACTGATCTTGTCCTTATTAATTAAAAGAAGCACCTGATTCCCCTGGGTAAATTTCTTATTTAACTAAGAAATTTGTGCTTGTCTGCCTTAATGATATTTGAAGTCACTCTAAGCACTTAAACTAAAAGCTAGTGGAAGGGAGATGACAGAGAAGCAAGAATGGACTTAAGGAAGGAGAAGGGGGAGACAGGACTTTACCCCTGGTTTTCTCCCAGCTGCTCAGTGGTACTTTCCTACAATTTGATCTTTTCCTGCAGCATCTGGGATAAAAATCACATTGAATTCACCAGTGTTAAGAAAAAATGGATACTTACAGAATTAATACTTTGTGAAAACATGATGGAAGCCTTCTCTGTATGCCTGTCATCAGGTATGAACTCACATCCTTTTTCAAACAGCCCTGTTAGCCTGTCAATTCTGCAGGTTTTGGTGAAACAACTGCCTCCTTGACACTTCCTTATGACATTTTTACCAGTAATCGCTGCCGAACAACTGAAAATTTATTAAGGTTAGATGTTTAAGTGACGTAATCATTTCAAAGGGCTAGATAGTCTCTGTGGTCAGGTTCCACAGATGACCTTGTCAATGATGTCCCCTCATAATTCAAGAGACAAATACATGCTTATAAATAGAAAAATTATTTATTTCCCATCAGAGTCATTTCTGTTTGCCAGAAAGTATCTGATGGGTCCCCAAAATGGTGCCAGAAATTGTTTCTATGCAACAGAAAAGCTAAATCTGGTCTACAGTTGCTGTTAGGATGAGCAAGGAACAGAGGCCTGAGGTTCCTCTCAGTCTCATCCCCTCCTTCCTGGGAAACCAGGCCTCTGCTTCCCTCAAAAGGCTTGCTGACTTTTCCTGGGTTTTGCGTTTCTAATTAGTTTATGTCATACAGTTTTCACATAGTTCTTGTATGTTATTAGGTATTTTAGATTTTTCTTTATATTATATGCTTGTGAGTCTCGTTGCTATTATAAATGGAATGCTTTTCTCCATCTTATTTTTTTTAGTATATAAACAATATATAAATACTGTAGAAAATTTGGGAAATTACAAAAACGTATAAAGAAGAAAAGAAAAAAATCATGTTCCACAATTAGAAATAAATTACTGTTAACATCGTGAAGCATTTTCTTCTCTATGTAGCAGCATAACATGGCACATATAATTTTGCTTCATGCTTTTAAAAAACTTAGTATGTTAGTATAATTAAAATTTTAATGCCTTGTTATAATTTATAATATTCTTTCAAAATGTCATTTTAATAATTGCCTGTTCTTATTATAAAATAAATTTAGCTTGATTTATTTAATGTGATCCCCCCCCAACTTGTCAGTATTAAAAATAAAACTTCAATGAATAAATAAAATTTCACATAAAATTTTGACTCTATTTCCAAGTTTGCTACATGGTTGGTTCCCAGACTAAATGATCAGATCCAAAAGTGTGAATATTTTATAGATTTCTGATATAGCTTATTCTACCATTTCCCTTAAAATTGGTTTTTTAAACATAAAATTACTGGATCAAGAAAAAGGAAATATTTTGGAGATTTGATATGTGTCACCAAATTGCTTTCCAGAGTTGTGCCAGTTTACATCTCTAACAACCATCTGTGGGAGCTTTCACCCACTGACAGTAACTTACTAGGTAATTAACGATGCTCATTTTGTCAGATTCACACCACTGGGATTGCTAGTAAGTCTGAACATTTTTTATGTTTATTGGCTATTTTTATTCTTTTATGAATTATTCTTCTATGTCTATTTCTTTGTTATGATGTTATTATTTTCTTACTGGTTTTCAAAAGTTCTTCATGTGTTACAATACTAAGCTTTTTAAAAGCATGTTTTTTAAACTTTTGCAAATAACTGTTAATTTTTTTATAGTTTTATTTAGTTTATGCTTGATTTGTCTGCAACAAAATTTTTAATTAATATGTAGCCAAATTTATTATTCTTTTAGTTATATCTTTTTACAATTCTTGAGTGCACAGAAAGACCATTACCATATAGGGGTATGTTTTTGTTTTTTTTAAATATGTTTTTATTGATATCAGAGAAACGAAGGGAAAGAGAGAGAGAGAGAGGTCGAGCCTGAAACCCAGGCATGTGTCCTGACTGGGAATCAAACTGTGACCTCCTGGCTTGCAGGTCATTATTCAACCATTTAGCCACACTGTCTGGGCAGGGGTATGATTTTTATTAATGTTCTTCTAGTTGTCATTGTGATTATCATAGTTATATTTAATAGTCTATCCATTTGGAAGAATATCTGTTAATATGTTTCCCCACACAGCTAAAAACTTGTCCCGATATCTTAAGAAATCCTGATTTTTCTCATAGGTCTATAATTCTAGCTGTATTAAATAGTAAATTTATTATATATGCGTCTGTCAGTTCACATTGTTTTAATTCATATAGTTTTATTGTGTATATTTAAAATTCAGTAAGTAAAAAGTTCCCTTTATTACTATTCTTTTTCAAAAATCTTCTTAGCTACTATCTTTTGGGTGAATTCTGGGATTTTAAAAATGAGTTAAAAATGGATGTGCTTTTGAATAGAGTTTTATAAAACCTATATATTAATTTGGGTTGAATTAAATCTTTCATGAATTGAAAATCTCTCAGTTTATCTTGATTTTCTTTTAAATCCTTTAGAAGGATTTTATAGTTTTTTCAAATATGATATCTACCTTTCTTAGAGTTTTACACTTCATTGCACCTTTAATTGCTATCGTGAATGGAGTATTCTTTCCATTATATTTTTGAACTGGTTATTGTTAATATTTGGGAAGGCAATTTGAATATTCATTTTGTATCTGGTCACTTTATTGACTTCCCATCCTTAATTTCTATTTATTCCCTTGGGTTTTCTAAGTGGACCACATATCACCTGAACAAAAGCAATTTTCTCTCTTCCTTTCTCGCAGCCTTCCCCTTTTATTAAACCTCCCAGTTTCCCATGTTATTGCATTGGCTACAATTTTCTAAACAAGGTTAGATAACTGTGCTAATAGTGGCCATCCTGGTAATGCCTCTAGTATTTTCCTATTAAATATGACATAGGCTGTTGGCTTGCAATTAATGTTTTGTATCAGATTAAGGAAATGACCTTCTATTGTGGGCCTTACTGTCATTTTGCGATTGCTTCTAGGCCTTAAAATAATTTTTAAAACTAGAAGATATTAATCAAATGATTAATATGTTATAATAAAGTTTCTTTTTAAGAGGACGTGGTAATTAGCCAGATTTGCTAATGTTTTCTGTGGAAGGAAGAACATGCTGTATACGTAGGCATTTCTAGAATATCTCTAGAAGGCAGTATGTATTAATCAGCTTTTCTCTTGTAAGAATGCACAGTGTCTAACTGTACAGAAGCTTAGAAAAGGGAAGTGGGAAAGGCAATGTCAGGTGTGGAATGGCCTCCATGGGCTGCGACACGAGAGGTCCATCCAACGTGTGATCACATCAGGGAAGTGACCCCGAGGGCCGAGGGAACAGCTACAGTGATCGGGCACGCCACGCAGGGCTCCAGGGGCTCGCAGTGTCTATTCGTGCCTGAAGCGATGTAACAGTGAGGGAAAAGGGAATGGAAGTGGGCCAAGTTGAGAGTTTGACTGTAATGAATGAAGGGAAGAGTGGAGAGCAGTAGTGTCCCCGTGGGAGAAATGGGAGGCCAAGGCTGAGCTCTGGGCCAGCGCAGCTCCACCTGGAAGCGAGAGCCAAACCGAATAGCCAAGGCGAAGCTGGGCCCGGCTCCCTCAGGAGGCACCGGGCAAGCAGGACTGGGAGCTGACGCGAGGGGGTGTTGTCCCGACCTCTAGTCTTTAAAAAGAGGTGGTTGGTTTCTGACTTTGGCGTAAGTGTGCAAGGTTTTCAAATTCCCTCTGAGGCTGTTGGGAAAATTATTCCCTTTTCTTCTTGACTCAGTGTACTATATTAATTACTTACTTAATATCACAGCATTTTGGGATTTCTGGAAGTCATCTTTCTTGGGCTTAATGTGTTTGTCACTCCCTTAGTTCTGCCAGATGTAACTTACTTTTCTTTTATTTAAAATCTTTTTTGGAAAGCTGTATCTACAGAATTCTTTTTCATGCCATCTGGCAGGTTTTGGTATCTGAATTGTGCTAGCTGTTTAAAATAAATCGGGAAGCTCCCTATCTTTTATGTTTGTACTAAAGCGGTTTATGTTCACTGAAACTGCCGGTTGCAAGACCTCACCCACACAATCGTGGCAGCCAAGAGTACTTTCCAAGTGTTCAGTTTGCTTTCTACTGACATCACATAGTTAAGCATGAGAGATAGAAAACAAGACAAAAACGGACATTTTTAAAATAATCAAGAAAAAATTGGTTGTGATTTAAAATAGCTTGGGAAAAGTTAAGTCAAATATCCATACCTTATTGCTTTGTTTTTTCCATTAGATAAGTAGAATTTCTGGTCTTTATTGTACTCATCAAATACTCCCCATCGTAGGTGGGCCCATTCATGGACAAATGCCCTTCCTGTGAGTATTAAAATGTTTTAAATACTTGGTTACAATAAAAATGGTAAAATTACCTCCTCATTCTGGGAGAAAGTAATTCTTCTCAACTTCTATCATGCTTTCCTATGTTAGTATTTTAAAGTTTTGATTTCCTTGCAAAGAAAACTCTAACATGACAACCGCACATTTCTGAAAAATGTAACTACTTGTTTTGGCTCATGAAATGCTAATTAGGTGACATAGTAAGTGCCTCGAAGTTTTTATACAAAGATGAAACAACTGCCCGGTTCTCAAGTAGCTTACAGTCTAGTGGATGCCATGCACAATCCGATAACTAAAATCCTCACTGGTGCAATGTAGCGATGGAGGTCGGCGCATGCTGCTGTGGGAGCTGGAGCATTGACAGGCCAGCCAGGGCAGCGTCCCCTGTGGCTCACATCTGATCAAACCCCAAGGCCTGCCTACTCCACCTCTGCTCTGTTCTCATCTTTCCAGTCTTATTGCCACTTACTCCTGAATTATTGCAGTGGCCACCCAGCTGCCCTCCATGTCTCCAGTCTTCAGTGGCTCCCCTATGGTGCTCAGGGTTAAGTCCAGCTCCTTAATACGGCAGACAAGGCCCCTGATGATCCCAGCTCTGCTCCTCTCTGCAGCCGTGTTTCTTGCTTTTCTCCACCTACTTCCAAAACTCTGTAATCACAGTGAATTCCTGCACTCCTTTTACTTTCTAGAGCCACACCACCCTCTTTCTCATCTCTGGTCCTTTTCATATATTCTTGCTCTGCTTGGGATACTCTTTCCCTGTCTCTGTCTGGATAATTGCTTCTCTTCTTTCAAAATCAAGCTTAGATCCACCTAGAAGCCTTCTCTGACGTCCCGAGACTAGTACCCTTCCATTACTGTTTTATTATATTCCATTATGGCACTTCTGTTATAACTTCTGCTTTCTTGCCAGTCTCCCCCACTAAACACTTGTCTCCATGAGGACAGGTTTCATGACTTCTTCATTGTCATGCCTGGGCACATAGTGTCTAGAACTTAATAGGCACTCAGTGAGTATTTGTTAAATTTAAATGAATTAGTGACATATACAACTCAGTATTCCTGGAATATAAATTCCTAGATAGGCTGAATTTGGAGGGTTAAGTGCAATACTAGTTGTTAATTAACCTAATTAGCCAATACTAATCATATTTGATTATACTTGGAAAGCATATATTGTATATACTTCATTGCTTGTTTCTTTTAATATTTTCTCCAAAGATTGTTCTATATAACTCATAGAGGAATTACATTTTATGTTGTGAAGGAAAATTGGATTTTTTCTTTAGTTACAGTTTTTTGAGAGCTGAACTGCAAGGATATTCTCTGCGCTACTCAAAGTGTGGCGCATAGTCAAGCAGTACCAGCATCATCTGGGCTTGTTAAAAATGCAGATTCTTGAGTTCCACCCCACACCTACTGAATCAGAATCTGGTTATTAACAATCCCTAATTATTTACAATTTGATTGCTCATAGAAGTCTGAGAACACTGTGGGTCTCCGCCATCTGGTGGCTAATATGTGAATTGTAGGCAGGAGGTTTAATTTGTTCAGCAGTCTCCTTAACAGATCGATAGAAACCTAATAGTACTTCAATAAACTATTTTACAGTTACTTCCTGATACTAATAATTTTTAAAAATTAAAAACACTGTATTTACACATTTATGCAGATGTGAATAAATTAAATTTCTAACAGAGAAATGCACTATTCTGAACCCCTGTTTTAAGTGAAAACACATGCTATACGTTTATTTGGCTTATATGTGCTCACTCAGAAAGGTAATGCTATTTTGATCTACTTTGAATATAAAATTATTAAGTTATGAGAAACACAACTGAATGTTTCATCTCTACCCATACCTTGTGGTCCATATTGAGTCAACTTTTTTCCTGCGATGAAATTAGGAGTGAAATGAATCCTTTCACCCTTTTCTCCACAGTTTCCCATCTGCTCAGTATAGGGTTCATCNTACCCATACCTTGTGGTCCATATTGAGTCAACATTTTTCCTGCGATGAAGTTAGGAGTGAAATGAATCCTTTCACCCTTTTCTCCACAGTTTCCCATCTGCTCAGTATAGGGTTCATCGTTATCTGGAGGATTAGGTTCAGCAACCAGAACATCAGCCTGAAATTTAAGAAAACATTTTCATCATTATAAAATTTTAACAAATGAATTGACTTTAATTCACACTGGACTATTTTGAAACAATTTCATTTGGTTCCAGAATATTATGATGAAAGAAATCTAAATCGCAGAAGGAAACTGAATTTGAAAAAAAGAACTCGATGGTCTCACATTTTTGTAGGTCTCGAGCTTTGGTCTCACATACTCAGGTTTTGTCTTCCATTTCTCAGGAATCAAAATAGCAACACTTTTGAAATAGAATCGTTTTTCTGTAGCTTCAAACAGATATGGAGATGCCTGAGTCACCATGTCCTGGGAAAAAAAGAAAACACGTAGTAAACACAATCATGACTATAGACTAAATTACCAATCGTTCACATTTGCATCTGTTTTTCATGTTAGAAAAAACTGGTTAGTAAAGGCCAGTTATTTATCAAGATTGGAAGGGGAGGTGTAGAAATACCTTTTATTGGTGAAATTAGCTAACCTCTTCTGAGCACCTATCACATGCTCTGTGTCACAGTGTGATGATCGACAATGCAGACTTCAGAGGCTGACACCAATCTTGGCTCCAACACTTATCGTGGGTTATCTGGCAATTTTCTTGAGCACCCTTGAGCCTCAGGTACCCCATTTACAAAATGGAAAATACTATGGTGACTAGCTCATAAGATGTGGGGATCAAATGAAGTCAAGAAAGCACTGGGAACCATATTTACTTAGCACAGATGCTTACGAAATGTTAGCTACTAGTGTCATCTCCCTTGATCCTTTGAGGAGCAATAAACCTTTTAGGGAGAAACTGAGAATTAGTATAAGTCTCAAGGTCTTACACCAACTAATACTTGAGAGAAACTCAAATTAAAATGAAGGTGACTTCACCAGCTGGCTCCTGCAGTGATTTTGGGACTAGCTAAATGTTATGATAGTATTTATTTTTAGCATAGTACTAACTGTCAGATATAAGGAAATGGCACGATCATATAATTTATTTTCAAATTACACCTAACTTTATTTCTCTAAAATGAAAAAGATGTAGTGTTGAATTATAAATGCCCCTGAGATGCATTATGAAGATAGTAGAGCCGGTATTATAAGAGGTTTATTATTGAAAAGAGCATTAGGTCTATTAGGACTGAAAACCACTGCCCTCAAAAGTGAGTGTGGGCCGAGGAAAGAGGAGAGCTAAGGACTGAGCCCTGGGGCCCACCGGCATTTAGTGGTAGGAGGAGGAGCGGTCAGCCAAGGAGACTCGAAGGAGTGGCTGGTGCTTGGGAAGGAAATCGGAAGGCCTGGGGTGAAGGCGGTTCAGGAGAAGAGAGCAGTCATCCCAGTCAAATGCTGCTGAGCCATCAAGAAAGGAAAAACAAACAAACAAAAACTCATAGATACAGACAAGAGCACTGCGGTTACCAGAGGGAAGGCAGTGGGGGGTGGGGGGT